CGCTCATTCGCGCACTAAGACGAGAGTATACATTATCTCGGGGGCCCAATCGGGAGTGTACATTGCCTGAACACTCAGTTTGTGGCTGGTCGAGTGGCTACTTGCTGGGACGCTGCTAGAAAGGTTCTTTGTCTGCCCTTGTCCTACTTCGGGACACCTCGTCTAGGGCACGTTGCCTCTTGGTGCGCTGTAAGCTGGTTCACCAAGGTCGTCTGCTGTGCGAGGGTGCTTGTCAACTCTATGACTTGTCAAGACAAGTGTTGTTCTCCATTTAGATGGAATAGCTTGGAAGGAATGTGTCTCCTTGAGTAGTGGAAGTGTGGTAGGCTCCGGGGGAGAGATTTAAGTTAGGAAATGTCAAATCCGCAAAAAAATGTGGTGAAAATGCTCTCAATTCGATCGTCAGTTTTGAAATTTGGAGTGGGGACGGTTAAACTAATCTTGGATCGATTTGGGCTGCTTGGAAGACCACTGGAGCAAACTGGGCTACGAGAGCAGGTTGGTTGAAGCAGGCTGGGCCACGGGAATGGGCTGCTCGCCGGGAGTAGGCTAGGCCACGGGAGTAAGCTGCTCGGCATGTGGCGCATGTGGGTGCAAAGCTAGGGCTCGGCTTGGCAACGCATTGGGCTCGCGTTGGGCTTGGAGTGACATGGCTTGGGCCATGGTTTTGGTGTCATGGGCCTTAGATGGCACAGCTTGGGCTTGCTTAGATGGCACGGCTCGGGCTGTGGTGGTGGTGCCATGGACCTCCCCGCTGGTGGTGGCCGTGGTGGCCACCGTGGTGGTTGCCATGGTGGAGCCCCGTAGCGGTGGTGCCGCTCCACCTATGATCACATTTAGCCTCGTGGATTGCCGCGGTCCCATTTCTTGAATATTGGAAGTTTCACTTGTGGAGTTTTCTAAATTTCTAGCCATTGTATTTTTCTTTGACGTTTTATCAAAGAATCTTTGCAAATAAAAAATTCTAATAATAAGAACGTACGAAAAATATACAAATGGACAAGAAAAAAATAGAGAAAATATGCGAGAGTCTTCTACAAGTGTGTGTACTTTAACTCTCAATGAAAGCACCAATTTGCGGATGCAAATTTCCGCCTCCTTCTTCTTGGACAAAATTGCACCTGCAAAACAATTAACACCTTAGGGTCAAGGCCAAGAGCTTCACGCCCCCACGATGAATGGGGAGGGGGGCTTTCGCCGAAGAACCTCCGATGCCAAAGTTAGAATTTAGAGAGAAAAGTGTTTACAGAGTTTTTGGAGTTTTGAAATAGTGTGGACTTAGGTTTTTAGAGGAAATGAGGTTGAATAAATAGTGCATGGCCGGTCTTCCTCTTGAGAAAAGGTGGCTGGCCTTTTGGGATATTTTTTTTTTGTGAAATGGGTGATTTAATTGGTAATTAATGGATTAATTAGGAATAAATCCATTAATTAGCCAATGAACTCAATTTATATGGAATGTTTTGAAGGTTATGGAATAATTAACTTGTGGAAAATATAGGATGAGGATGGATGAAATAACTTTGAATTTGTTACCTATTTTGGGCACTTTTGACTTGATTGTGAGATGTTTGTCCATAGCTTGCGCATAGGAATTCAAGTGCTCCTCAAGGGTAATTTTGTCATTTTAGTCTAAAAATCCACGTGTCGTCTCTTGATTATTTTTGGCGCCACATATACCATGTTGCATTATCTACTACCATGAATCTTGGATTATCTACTACCATGAATAAAGTGCATGTCACACGTTTTCTTTTCAATTACATGTGCATTTCACGTTTTGCTTCCCACCAACTTTTTATTCTTGTGGCCAAATTTAGCATATCAAATATGTCTGTTTTTTACCATTACCTAATTTATTTTATATTTAGCATCATTTTATCTAAATTATATATTAATAAAATTTACCTTGATATTAAAAAAATTAGTGATTTACAGTTATAACCTTTAATACATAATTAAAAAAAATGTGAGAAAAGAAAGTAATTTTGAACAAACAACTTTTTGCTGTTTTTTTTTTTTTAAAAAAAACCTCATAGCTATGTCACCCTATCATTATCCTCTAAACTCACTATCCCTCTCATTTTCTTTTTAGAGCACTTCCACCGAGGGTGGGATAGGTTGACACACAGCCAAAAAAATGGCCCGGCACCTAGGGAAGTCTCTCTAGCCCACGGGATTGCTTGGCACCCAGCCTAAGCTGGTCTCCAAGCCAGCCCAAATTGACAGACCTTGGGATCGGCCCGTATGATGCCATGCTGACGTCAGGGATGGAATTGGCGGCTTGGATCTATGGATGCGATGCAACTGTGAAGTGTGAGTACACCGCGAAGGAGAGAGAGAGAGAGAGAGAGAGAGAGAGAAGAAAGAGTTCGAATTCGGAGAGGGATTCGAATCGCTGAGAGAGATCTAGCAGCACCGAAACCCTTGGACCCGCAAAAGAGAACAAAGGGAGAGAGATCTGAGGAGAGCTCAAGCTCTCGGCTTCAATGGTAGGACCTCGCACCATGTACCGATGCCACATGCAAGTCCATGGTTGGGTTCCTTGAGCTCCAAGGATTACAAAAATAATATTTTGTGTTTGATTTGTTGAAGGTTTTGAAGAGGAAGGAGAAGGAGAGCTCAAAGGAGTGAGCTAGAAAAGAGAGAGAGTGGGAGAGAAAATAGATAGAGAGAGGGAGAGAGAGAGAGAGAGAGAGAGAGAGAACCGGTCAAATGATTGGGTAAGGAAATAGGTTTTTAAAACCTATTAAAATCATTATTTTAAAGGTCTAATTGGAGATTCATTTTATTTAATCATATTTTAATAAAATGGACCAGACTATTTTTTATTAGGAGTGGAGATGCATTTGGCCTATTACTGTTTATATGCTAAAAAAATAAGTTATACGTTTCTCTAAACGAGGGGTTAACGGAAGTCAAAGTCCTTGCCTCTAGGGCATTTTCATCAATTCACGCTTTTAAAATTTATAAAAACGTCAAATTAGAGACGGGTTGTCACATTATTAATGTATCAAGGCACTAAGATTATATTTTGATCTTACTCATAATTTTAGTCTAAAAATCATATTTGCCAAGAATTAGAATAAGTTTTCTATTATATATACCATTTTGCATTATCTACTACCATGACTCTTGGATTATCTACTACCATGAATAAAGTGCATGTCACATGTTTTCTTTTCAGTTACATGTGCATTTCATATTTTGCTTCCCACCAACTTTTTATTCTTATGGCCAAATTTAGCATTATCAAATATGTCTGTTTTTTACCATTACCTAATTTATTTATAGCATCACTTTATCTAAATTATATATTAATAAAATTTACCTTGATATTAAAAAAATTAGTGAATTACAGTTATAATGTTTAATACATAATTAAAAAAAATGAAAACTAATGAAAATGATTTCAAAACTTTGAGTTTTAACGATAAGGACAAAATAAAAGATAAAGTGAATAGTACCAAAATTGACTTTTTAGTGTAAAAATGTGGTTTTTCGTTAAAGTGAACAGTACCGCGAGCTTTTCGTTAAAACTCCCTTAAAAAAATGTGAGAAAAGAAAGTCACTTTGAACAAACAACTTTTTGCTGTTTTTTTTAAACCTCATAGCTATGTCAACCTATCATTATCCTCTAAACTCACTTTCCCTCTCCTTTTCTTTTTAGAGCACTTCCACCGGGGGCGGGATAGGCTGGCACACAGCCAAAAAAATGGCCCGGCACCTAGGGAAGTCTTTCCAGCCCACGGGATTGCCTGGCACCCAGCCCAAGTTGGTCTCTAGGCCAGCCCAAAATTAATAGATCTTGGGATTGGTCGATATGGTGCCATGCTGGCGTCAGGGATGGAATCGACGGCTTGGATCTACGGATGCGATGCAGTCGTGAAGTGTGAGTCCATCGCGAAGAGAGAAAGGGAGAGAGAGAGAGAGAGAGAGAGTTCAAACCCAGAGAGGGATTTGAATCGCTGAGATAGATCCAGTAGCAGCTGAAACCCTTGGACCCGCAAAGCGAACAAGGGAGAGAGATATGAGGAGACCTCAAGCTCTTGGCTTCAATGGTAGGACCTCGCACCATGCACCGATGTTGCATGCAAGGCCATGGTTGGGTTCCTTGAGCTCCAGGGATTACAAAAATAATATTTTGTGTTTGATTTGATGAAGGTTTTGAAGAGGAAGGAGAAGGAGAGCTCACGAGAGTGAGCTGGAAAAGAGAGAGAGGGAGAGAAAATAGATAGAGAGATAGGGAAAGACAGAGAGAGAGAGAGAGAGAGAGCCGGTCAAATGATTGGCTAAGGAAATAGGTTTTTAAAACCTATTAAAATCATTATTTTAAAGGTCTAATTGGAGATTCATTTTATTTAATCATATTTTAATAAAATGTACTAGGCTATTTTTTGTTAGGGATGGAGAATCATTTGGCCTATTATTATTTATTGAAGTCTATCACTGTTCACTAAGTGGATAAATAGGCTAGATGTTGGCGCAAAGTTTTTAGAAGTGGAATTGTTCTTATATAGATAACTGCCAACACTTTTTATTTTTTATTTTTTTTATGCCTGCATAACTCCTACCAAAAAATAAAAAAATAAAAAAAAAATAAAAAACAATATTTGAGAAAAATAAAAATAAAAATTATATTTCTCATGTGAGTGACCTTTTCTAGTTTGGAATAATAATTTGCCTCACCCGCAGCAATTGCTTTCCCTACCGTACACGTGTAACTTGAGTGCGTGGCGAAACGTCTATGGAGCCACGCTATTGCCCGAATGACCGCCAGTCAACGCTGCAACTCCCACATAATCGGAATTCCAGACAAGGGTAGTTCCGTAATTTACGCCACAACCGCCAAGGCCCATGCTCCAGTGAGATCCACGTTGTCCAGACAGCAGAAAATTCTGTACTTGACCTACAAGCAAATGGCCAAAAATGGTAAGATGTTCCCGCGAAGCAGGCAACCAAAACCCCCATCTAGTAACTTCTGCTTCTCTGCAATATAAGTGGTTGATCTTCAGGGACCCCCAAAAGCCATAACGCTAAGCGACAATCCAAACCGTGTTCTTACCAAAAACCCCTAAAACGTGCACTATCTAAAACCCTCTTCGACCGGCGAAGATGAACCGGATCGCAGTGAGGTCGTTGGTCGGCGGTCTGCGCGGTGCCCGGAACTACAACCGGTACATTTCCACGGCGGTCGCTGCCAGGCCCTTGGACGGCGCGGAGTTCCTGAACCGTCGGAGCGGCGACGGTTTTAGCGGATTTTACTGGATGAGGATGATGAGCAGCGCGCCGCAACCTGTTGCGCCACCGGTTGGGACTACGTCGGCGGAGAAGGAGCAGAAGGAGAGCGGGAGCTCGGTGGGCGACGGCGGCAAGAAAGGAAGCGACAGCAACGTCGTTGTGTCGAACTACTGGGGAATTCAGAGGCCGAAGATCGCAAGGGAGGACGGGACTGAGTGGCCTTGGAATTGCTTCATGGTGAGAAGGAGGAGGACTAGTGGCAATTTTATAATTTATTGCTTTATTTGTTGGTTTAATTTAATTTAATTTAATTTTTGGAATTTGAAGTGTTTGAATTTTGTTTGATGAGTGCAGCCATGGGAAACCTATAGGGCGGACCTATCCATCGATCTGGGCAAGCACCATGTGCCGAAGACTTTTCTAGACAGATTTGCCTTGAGGACCGTCAAGCTTCTTCGGATTCCAACGGATATTTTCTTCCAGGTTTTGTTGCTTGTCTCCTCTTTTTTATTTTTATGTTTTTTTGGTATTAATTTGCTCGTGCATTTTTCATTTTTATGATTTCTTTTTTTAATTTGTGTGGTGCTTGTTATTTTGGTATTTTTGTTAAATACACAACCGTAGCCAATTCCTTCCTAATCCTATTAATTAAAACCAAAGCAAGATTAGGATAGGATAACCTGGATTCAATTGATTTGGCTTAGTTAGCGTTTTGTGATTGCAACATTTTTGTTTTGTTATCATACTAGTTCCTAAATCTTGTTTTAGGATTATTCTTTCTATTCCAATACGATCTCTGTTTTCAACTATTGGATTATATGTTTCAGAGACGGTATGGGTGCCGTGCAATGATGTTGGAAACTGTGGCAGCTGTCCCTGGCATGGTCGGAGGAATGCTGCTGCACTTAAGGTCTCTGCGCAAGTTTCAGCATAGTGGTGGTTGGATCAAGGCTTTACTCGAAGAGGCAGAGAACGAGAGAATGCACCTGATGACAATGGTTGAACTTGTGAAGCCCGTGTGGTACGAGAGACTGCTGGTTCTCATTGTGCAGGGAGTCTTCTTCAATGCCTTTTTTGGTCTTTATATGATTTCCCCAAAACTGGCACATAGGATTGTTGGGTATCTGGAGGAGGAGGCTATACACTCTTATACAGAGTATTTGAAGGATATCGATAGTGGCAACATTGAAAACGTACAGGCTCCTGCAATTGCTATTGACTACTGGAGGTTACCTAAAGATGCGAAGCTCAAGGATGTCATTACCTGTGATTCGTGCTGATGAAGCTCATCATCGCGATGTCAACCATTTTGCATCTGTGAGTACTAAATGCCTTTTTCCATGCCTATGCCCTTTGATTGATTCTACAATTTTGTCACTTTTGTTGTCAATATGTTCCACTCTATGACGCCTATGTAACGAATGCTACCATGTTCACATGTTTTCCAATTACCTCTGGTGTCTCATAATCTGTCTGTCATTTGCTTGCAGGACATTCATTACGAGGGCAAGGAATTGCGAGAAGCACCGGCTCCCCTTGGTTATCATTGAGGTGTTGAGATGCCTAGAATTAAAGAAATATCGTCTATCCGTATATGCTGATAACCATGAACTAATATGTGGGCATAGATTGTTTCTGAAATTTGTATGAGAGGGTAAAATAGTATGTGAGATTCGTCTTAGTTTCGCTTCGACTTTTGGATTGGTATTATATAAATCAGTAACGAGTAAGATTTTATTTTGTCTTGTGTGTATTTCTGGGAGCCTCTGTCAATACCCAGGATAAAGCTTCTGAAAGGTATTCGTATCCAGAATTCCTGTTTTTTTTTCTGTTCGTAATTTGTTCCGTTTAGGTTTGTAGGTTCTTTACCACCTGCGGCTGTGCTCTGTGATGCTGTAGTGTCCTCTAAAGTAGTCGTTCCTTAGTTATTTGGGAATCAGTTGAATACGTATGCATAAATGTTAAATTGTGATATAAAAGAATGGTGCAAGACACTTGGGACGAGATTTCATTTTTAGGAAAACTAATGAAAATGACTTGAAAATTTTGAGTTTTAACGATAATGACAAAATAAAGAGTAAAAGTGAATAGTATCATGATTGATTTTTTAGTGTAAAAACGTGATTTTTCGTTAAAGTAAACAGTACTGGGAGCTTTTTAAGTTCTCGTTAAAAAAAAAAAAAAAATCTTTTGAAACCTTAGACTGCAACTCGAAAAAAAGAAAAATCTCAACATGTTCTTGAATTATTATTAGGTTTGCTGTTAAAAGAATTTTAGGCTTAAATAGTCATTTTATAAAAGATATGAGTTATTTAATATTAGAATTTATGCCGGGTGTAGTCAACAAAATGTGGAATGTCAATAAAAAAAACCCTTGAAAAATAATAATGTTGAATGAATATCAAATAATTAAACAATAAAACTGAAAAAAAAAAAAATATCAATCTAACTTGAGTGACTGGCCAAGAACGAGGTAAAGAAAAAATTTCAACGCCTTCAATATATTTTGTTTTGATTCGACTCATACACAATTTCGAAGCACATATTAAGCTATCACTTGATCTCTTGAATCCTTTGTTAGGTAAACCGTAAACAAAACGAAACTCTAAATCCTAAAACTTCACTCTTGGTATCTTTGGGTGATAAATTAGGTTGTAGAAAACTTTGATTATGTAAATTTTACATGAAAGCGGGGAGGAGTCTTAACAGTGAAGAAAGCTAGGATCTTGAAATATGCAGAGGAAAAACTCAGAAATGAAGAACTAGGAGAAGAAAACTTTGGAGAGAAAGGAATTGTATATTTGATCAAATGAATCGTACAACCATCAGCTCACTACTATCCTTTTATACAAGCATAACTGCCTTTCTTACGGCTAAACCTAACTAACCAATCTTATCCAATACAGGTAATTATCCTAGCTATATTATTGATGACGTGGCTAGTCAATATAAGTCGACTTTCCCTCTCAATCTCAACTAGGGTACCCTGATTTGAGATTGAAGCAATGTCGAGTGAAAGTAGGACTGTGAAGGCCTTTGGTGAGCACATTTGCTGTTTGTTCATTAGTAGGCAAGTATTGCACTAGTAAATCTCCCTTATGTACTCTTTCTCTGACAAAATGGTACTTGGTATCAAGGTGTTTAATCCTTGAATGATAGACATGATTTACACCTAAAGCAATGGCTGACATATTATCTCAATGAATGGTTGGTGGCACATGTAAAACAACTCCCAAGTCCTTTAATAACAACTGATCCAAGCCACATCTGCTGCAATATGTGCAGGTGCTTTATATTCAACCTCAGTTGAGCTTCAAGAGACTGAGGTTTGCTTCATTGATTGCCGCGATATAGGATTATTACCCAGATACACCACATAGCCAGTTACTGATCTCCTTGTGTTCAAATCAGCATCCCAATCAAAGTTAGATAATGCGGTTAAGTGAATGTTTGTATTAGATGAATATGTGACCTACACTCTGTAGTGCCATGAAGATACCTCATAATTCTTTTCACATAACCAAAATGAGTATCTATTGGGGCTGTCATAAACTGGCATACTAAATTAACAGCAAAAGCTATATCTAGCCTAGTGAAGGTCAAATACTGAAGTGATCCAACCAAGCTTCTATTCAAAGTTGTATCCTGTAAAGGCTTGCCTTCAGTTATTAACAACTGATTGTGGGGTTTACATGGAGTAGTAACAGGCTTACATGACTCCATTCTAGCTTTATGAAGAAGATCCTTAGCATATTTTGACTGATTAACAAAAATGTCTCCATTATCTCTATGTTGAATTTGTAACCCCATAAAGTATGTAAGACTTCCCATGTCCTTTAAATCAAACACACCTACTAAGTCTTGAATAACACTCTGAACTTTAGTAGCACTTGATCCAGTAAGGATGATATCATCCACATATAACAAGAGAACAATGATATCTTGTCCATCAGTTTTAACAAAAAGACTTGTATCAGATGAAGAAGCAATAAATCCCAATGTTGGCAAGTAGCTTGCAAACTTTGAATTCCAAGCCCTTGGAACTTGTTTTAGACCATAGAGAGATTTAACCAACTTACAAACATAATGTGGATGAGAAAGATCAACAAAACCCTAGGGTTGTTTCATATAAACTTCCTCTTGCAATTCTCCATGCAAGAAGGCATTTTTAATATCCAACTGCCTTAATTCCCACTAGCTTATAGCTGCCAAGGATAAAATAAACCTGACAGTTGTGTATCTTACCACTGGGCTGAAAGTTTCAGAGTAGTTAAGCCCTTGTTCTTGAGAAAATCCTCTAGCCACAAATCTAGCTTTATATCTAGACACAGTTCCATCAAGATTTTTCTTGATTTTGTACACCCATTTGCTTCCAATAATGGACCTTTCAAGTAGAAGTGGTACTAGTTGCCAAGTTCCCTGAGTTTTAAGAGCATTATACTTTTCTTACATTGCAAGTTGCCACTAAGTTATGGTAGAGGCTTTTCTAAAACTAGAAGGTTCATTTAAGTCACTGATTGCAGCCAGAAAAGAAAAACCTCTAGATAACTTAAATTCATCATCCAACAAAAGAGAGTGTAATTCATGGAAAGAAGCAATAAACTTTGTGTAAGACTTTTTATCCATAGCACCAGACTTTAGTCTTGTAATCATTGGATGACTAGATTCCCCATGAGATGTGTTATCAGACACAAAAGTAGATGGGGGAATTAGAGATGGGAAGTATTACCTCAATTTGTGAAGGGTTGTGAACATGTAACTATGATATTGTATCTTGAGACGGTGTTGGAGTAAAGGAAGAAGAGACAGTGAAATTAGCAGTGAGATCCTGTGAATGATCAGGAGACAAGATTAGATCATGTGAATTATCCCAGTACCAACTTCAATAACTTCTAGATTTGTAGATTATACTTCATTGCATGAAGAAGGAATGAAATGATCATTAGTTCTAAAAATAGGCAATTGAATGACCACTAAAGATGAATGACTATTCTGAGAACCAACCAAATTCCCGGAACGATTTCTTGAATTCAACTTGAATGGAAACACACTTTCGTTATGAATAACATGTCTTGACAGAACCAACTTCCTTGTAGAAATATCATAACATATCACACCCTTATATCCAGTAGCAAAACCCAAAAACACACATTGTTTAGACCTTGGTTGTAGCTTTGTTTAATTATATGGTCTCAAGAAAGGATATGTTGCTGTACCGAAGATTTTCAAGCTATGGATCACTGGTTCTTGAGCAAACAACAACTTATGAGGTGACTGCATACCCAAATTCTTGCATGGCATCTTATTAATGAGGAATGTAGCATGGAGACAAGCATAATTCCAAAACATTAATGGAATATAAGCTTCTATCATCAAAGTAGGTGTTGTCTCTATTAAATGTCTATGTTTCCTCTTAGCAAGACCATTTTTGCTGAGGGGTATAAGGACAGGATATAGAATGAATGATGCCCTTGGATTCCAAATTGTTTTAAACCTGTGACTCACATACTCACCACCACCATCTGTTTGCAGGTATTTGATTGCAGAATTAAACTAATTTGCAACAAAAAATGAAATTTGATGAACACTTGAAACACAACTGATTTATTGATAATAGGGAATATCCATAGAAACCTTGAAAATTCATCCATGAAGCTTACATATTACCTAAATCCTTCTAAAGACTTATTTGGAGATGGTCTCCATACATCTGAGTGTACTTTTTCAAACAAAAAGCTAGCTCTAGTTTCTTTGACAGGGAAAGACTGCCTACACATTTTTCCAAACAAACAAGAAGTACAAATTGAAGGGGAAGAATCAACACTACCAAACTGATTGTAATTCTTGAGCATAGTAGACAATACTTCTTCAGATGGATGACTAGCCTCTTATGCTAAATGGAAACTTTGACTGCCTTGCTAAGAAATGCAACACCTTTATTAGACTGAGCAATAAACCTTCTAGAAAACACATTCACAGGAATCTCATATAACTCTCCCATACTCCTACCTTGGTACAATATCACTCATGTTGCCTTGTCCTGTATGAAAAATACAATCTCATCACAAATAAACCAACAACCATTGTCTATACATAACTTCTTTACAGACAAAAGATTAACTGTAATAGTTGGAACATGTAAAACATTCTTCAAAACTAGTAAATGATGAGGAGTGGAAAGAGTAGAGGAACCAATGTGTTTAACAATCAAACCATCACCACTTCCAATTGTCATTTTATCACCACAATTGTATGGAACATGTTGATTTAGATTCCCAATATTTGATGTCATATGATGTGAAGCACCTGTATCTAGAACCCAAGTATTAGTTGCAGAAACACCTTGTGTAGATTGGCCAAACTCAGCTGCAGTCATATTAACAGGACATTGAGCTGCAAAAGTTGTCAGTGAAAGAGGAGGTGGTGCTCCTTGTTATGAAAAGTTATTTCTATGCTCATAAGCAGCTTAGAATGGTGGAATATTTTCTGTGTATATTCATCCACTAGGGTTACAACTTTATACAATCACCTTACAATGCCATCATATTTTATTGCCTATAAATAAGGCCAATTAGAAACTAAACAAGAAAGTAAATAACTGAATGTCAATTTACAATATTGACTAATTGATTGAGATATCTTTCTTAACACTCCCCCTTAAGTTGAAGTGTATGTTAATGACACCTAACTTGCTGAGTAATGTTTAGAACTGCGTCGAACTCAATGGCTTGGTAAATATA